TTGGAATTAGTCAGATAAACTAACCACTTTAATTGAAGCAGATTTGTCTTCAAAAGGAATGTTTCCATGCTGTAAAAATAGGGAAAAAAGTAAGATTATCTTCCAGGAAAACAGGTTTACATTGAAATGCTTATTCCTCGTATTTAAAGCTTTTTTTTTTTTTTTTTTTTTTTAAGGAAAATTTGCCAATACAGCCAGGCCCGCAATACCTCCTAGTGGAAGCATGGCTTATGCCAACAGAACTGTTGATATCAACTCCCCAAATATAAGCACCTATATATACTGACAAATAGGTTGGGAACACATGCTTCTAACTCCACCCACAGTAGGGCTTTTGCCAGTATAGCATAGCATGGCATGGCACATTGGTTACGGAGATGATTTTTAGTATTTCTAACCAACATAGTGATAATAGCAAAACAAATTATAGATAAAGTCAGTTCTACTATGTCCCCCTAACAGCTTCTTGCTGTACCCTAACCTTGTATTATCAGATTATAGAGGTTTGACATTTCTTCTCTTCATGCCATTATTTCCCTAAATTTTGCTCCCAAAAGATGGATATTAAGTTAAAGCTCAGACCCCAAACTTTTTCTCCTCATGCTTCCTTGTTCATCAAGTCTATTGTACTTATTCTTCTGGTATTCTATGAAGCAGGCATCTTAGAGTTTCCAAAATGTCACCTCTAGCAGGATGCGCACCTTTAACTGTCACATAACTTACCGATTAAAAATAAAAGTTTTAAAATGGGAATTATTGTAAATCCTTGATGTCAGAAGACAGATACTTCTTTAACATTATACTGAGTTGTATTACTTCTGGATTCCTGGGATTGAAGTAGTACACTGAACTGAAGATAAACACACTTTTCCTTCACAAGTAAAACCGAAATACAGAAGACAAGTTTACCTACCCTTCCCCTACAATCCCACCCCCAGTCCCTGTTTAGCCATCCTGAAACTTAAGATATCCTGTTTACCACTATTCATTTCATAAGCACTTGGCAAAATGCCTCCAAGATCAGAACACTTCTAACTATACCTGCCTCCCTGCCATTCTCCCCTAACTGCCAAACTCACTCCTACTTCTGGCTGGCCAACTTCCATGCTAAGAAAACTATTATTACTCAATCAGCCAAACACCCCTTTTGACAAGTGAAAACTCATTACATGCTGCTTGTCGAATAAGCTGCCAACCTACACTTAAATACCCAGCATGTACCACCTGATTGACAAGCTGGACCTGCAGCTCATAGTGAAGTATCCTTTCCACTCAGCTTCCTTATGCACTACTTGTACATCAAATACCATAAGAAGTTAAATTATTTGGTTGTCTTGGCTGACCAAATTATATGGTCAAGTTCTCTCTCTCGAGTTCCACTCAGCAAATTATGCTTCACACTGAACTAAAGGGTGAACGTATAACTGTTTGGCCCTTTCCCCTCCCAACACAGTTTTACCTGCTGAGGGGCCACGACCCAAATAATTTTTTCTTCCTCTGCTCAGATCTGCACCCCCGGACCCCCTCCACAGACTTACCTGCTGGCCGGGGGTTGGGGCCTAGAAGTAGATCTTGGGTCGCTTTTAAATTCCAAAAGTGATCTCCTGCTTAAAACTAACCTACATGGTTTCCCTTCCTGAATAGCATGCACAGGCCGCAGAACGGAGTGGGCCGCCCGGGCCATGGCCTAACCAACTTTTAGCACATTAATTTAGCTAGCTATGCAGTTAAAAAAATAGCTATACAGTTTTAACTGGAATGACAATTGCGCATTTGTGGGTTATATAAATTAACGTACTAAAAGTTGGTTGGGCCATGGCCTAGGTGGCCCACCCTGTTCCACGGCCTATGATAGCATGTAGCAAGTAGTATAATTTCCAAGTCTTCTCATCCTATCAATAAGGGGTGGGAAACTGTGAAGAGGAGAACTTGGGATAGGGGAGCAGGGAAAGAAAAAAAAATAAACCTCACCTTATTTCCTTCTTCCTTGACTTGAGGATTTATGAGTTTTACAAAAGAATAAAACAACTGCCGAATTCTGGAATCTCCTACAAATGCAATGTATTTGTCTATGAGACAGTTTTTTGCTTCACTGTAAAACAAAACAAAGCCAACGCAGACACACATTAGTAATATTAATAAATTAACTTTTGAATTTTTAAAGGGTATACATCAATGAAAGCAAAAGAAAATTCCCTAAAATAAATCAGCTGCATGGTACAGAAATTCTAAAAATCACAGCGAATAATAAAGAAGGATTAATTGGGTTTTAAATAGAGGTGCACTAATACATTGGTGTCATATCAAATCGGCACCAACATAAGGAAAATTGACTGTATCAACAAATCAGCTTTTTTTTGGCTGATGTGGCCAACAGTGCCACTGATAAATGCCCCGTACATGCATGCATGCAGCTGCAGCGCAGCATGCAGGTGGCCAGAAGCCAGCCCAGCAGAGTGGAGAGCAGCTGGGTCCAGCTGGTAAGCCTGTTGTGAGGGGAGGGGAGGCGAGGCAGATCAAGGCCACAGCAGTGAGGTAGGGAGCGGAGCCAGGGCAGGACACAGGATAGAGCCACAAGCAGCTCATCCAGAGGGCTAAGGGCTGGCGGGGGGAAGCTCCTGCTGCTGCACACACACCCCAGGAGGGCAGGGGGGCACGAGCCCAGGATCTGCATGCAGAGAGAGGGTGGCTGCCACTGCGGGCTGGGCTTGGGACAGCACCAGGCTCTTCCCGCAGCGGCCAGGGGGCTGGGCCAGGCTGTGCTCAGGGCAAGTGGCAGTGCTAGGAGGGGGGAATGGGGGGGCTATGGCAAGTTTTGGGATGGTTGCAGCCCCTCCATAGACCCCTCCCAGTGCTGCCGCCACCCATCCTGAGCGCAGCCCCGGTCCAACTCCCCAGATGGGAAGAACCTGTCGCCACCTTGGCCCCAGCCTGAAGCAGTAGTCTGCCCTCACATGCCTACCTAAACCCCTCTCCCCTACCTCACCATGCCCTCTTCCTTGGGTATGTGCAGCAGCAGGAGCCGCTTTCCCCCCAACACGAGCTGCTCACAGCTCCATCTGCTACTCTGCCCCAGCTGTACAGTGCATGCCCCTGCCCCAGCCCCACTTCCTCCCTCACCGCAGGGGCCTTGATCTGTCCCCCCCATGCCCCTTCCCTTCCCTCACAACAGACTTATCAGCCAAACGTCGCTCTTCATGCTGCCTGGCTGCATATTGGAATCGGATCAGTATTGGCCAATATGGCTCGTTAAAAAAAAAAATTGGCTGTCTGTATCACTCCAAAAATTCTCTATCAGTGCACCCCTAGTTTTAAAAATACTGAATGCATTAGATAAAAAAAGGATTAGCAATCAAATAATAATCCATCTTCCCAACAATCTGATGATGCAAATTATTATAGAAGAGATTGAACTATATTTCTTATTACATGGTGTTGGAAGCTGAAAGTTTCAGGAGTTGTATAAGACTTAAGTTACAGAATACTTGAGTAGAAAATAGTAATTACTTCTGTTTATATTAAATGAATGAAAGAAAAAAGTGACAGATACTTTATTTCTCATAATTATTCAATAAATATCTTTAAAAAAAATAATTACTCAGAAAGATTATGCATTTAGCTATTACAGTATTTTCCTTTTAGACAATAACTTGAAACAGTATAGAAATGTATGCAGCCTACTGAGCTATCTTGAAGGTCATTATAATAAACAAAACTTGCAGTATTTTTAACTGGTACTATCCTTTATTTGCTTTTTTAGAAGTTCAAACAGGATCCACTGTGCTAAAATACAAAAAAAGATTCCATCCTTGTCCTTTGTTAATTGATGTATTTTCCTGTAAACCAGAAAGCTACATGAATACATATAGTCAAAGAGAAATAAGACTTCAAGAACTGAATAAATCACAGGCTAGTGAAGACATTTCCTTTCAAGACAGTAGAATAAAACCAAAGTAAGTGGGTAATCCAATATCCTTACCTATTTTTATACTTGTGCATCATACAGCTGTGGGGCTGCCATACTTTTTCTCCAAGAAATCTCCCACTGGAGAGAAGATACTCACACGTATCATCACCTATACATGTTATAACAGAATTAGTATCCAATTACAAAACTCACAATACTCACAAAACTCACAGTATTTTATTACTATTAAACAAAATTGATTCAGGTTTAGAGTGCATAAAGTTGAGAAATCAGTAGCATCAACAAAAGGAAAGTATATTGGAAGTCCTACATAAACTTCTCCAAATAACATGGCCATCTATTGCACCTTACTTCTGACCTAAAATATTCCTTTTTCCACAGCCAAATTATGAAAAAAATCCAATCAGTACCAGTTACAATGTTGTAACTAATCTAGATCAGGTGTGTTCAAACCCCAGCCTGTAGGCTAGATCTGGCCCACAATGCTGTCATCTAGCCCATGGGGCTCCTTACAGGTCTGTGTAGCTAGATAGGGCATGCAGGGAAGCACAGGGCTCTAAGCTGGTGCACAGGACCAGGCAGAGGCAGCATGGGACAATGATCATGGCACATGGGGGCCAGCTGAGGCCACACCAGTGGTGAAGTATAGGGGGTGCATGGTGGTGCACATGCACCCACCCCCTGAGAGCGCCCATGCACACCCCTAACCAGCCATGTTTGCCACTTAAGCGATGGGCAGGGGGGGGCAGGCGGGAGTGCCGGTAGCCCCCCTGCAAGTGCCGGCCAGGTAGTGGAGTGCCACAGCCACAGCCCCCCTCTCCGGTCAGCAAAATTAAAGACTAAAGTGGCACCAGTGGCCCATGAGCCACACAGGGCCAGATCTGGCCCACAGACCAGCCCTATACCACTCATCTAGCCCACAGGGCTAAAAGGTTGAGTTCCACTAATTTAGATTATTAATACTTGGACCTCAGACCTCCTGAATACAAGGACAGATGTCAACTCACTGCATCATCTCTTATCCTACAACATACTACCATAAAGTGAAGGAATTAACAGATTAGCACTTTAATGATCTTCTGAGGAAGGAGCTCTCTCAGGCAACAACCTATTTGTTAGATGCTGTCAATGGAATAATAGGCAGAAAGGATTTTATACAAAAGAGAAAGGGAGGTGGGGGAGTGGATACTAATAAATGAGGTAATAAGATGGTTGATCAGGATCAGTTGAAATGAACGAGGCAGTTAACATCCAAAAGGACACTAGGAGTTAACAGCTACTTCAGGTAATTGGATAAGAAACAGTCTCTGTTGTGATCAGGGTTTAATACAATCCAGTCTATGGATCCACACTTGTAAATCTATACTTTTACTACTAGAATGTGAATATAAAAAGGCCATTTGTAGAAATGTAATAGTATTACTTTCCTTCAACTATAATTGCTGCCTTAATGGAGGTGGAAGGCAGGGCAGGATGGCACCTAATAGACTAACCTTTTTTTTTTTTTTTTTTTTGAAATACATGAGTTTTTGTAGGCTATCACCTTCATCGGATGTTTTGTCAGTTGTCATCTGACAAAGTGGGTATGTCTATGCGTGCATTAAATTTGCAAGTAAATGCTCCTGCAGGCATTGTAGGGAA